ACTATGAAGGGTTTGTGGTCTCATTTGATGGTTCCGCTAAGACAGAGGAGAATGGTAGCTACGGTAGCTGCTCATGGATAGTGTGGAAGCTTCCGGAGTGGCAGATAGTGATCGCTGCGAGTGCCTACCTCGAGCAAACTACGGTACGGTGAATATTATTGAGTATAGCGACATGAACCACGGGGTGATCGCAGCCCTGGAACATGGTGCTGAAGACTTAGTCATCGTTGGAGACTCGAGGTTGCAATCCACCAATCACTAGGGGTGATTGCATGTCGGAAGGATTCGCTGATGACACTCCTGAACCGCCATCTAGAATTCGTCGCGAAGCTCAAGTCAGTCCGATATCTGCATGTGGTGCGTGAGTACAACGCAGCGGCTGACTCCCTCACTGGTGAACCATCGGAGTCAAGGGTGGCGAAGGTGGTGCTCAGCGCCCACCGTAAGACCGAGCTCAAGGTGTTGAATAGAATCCAATAAATGATCTATGAGTCGTCTTCAAACGACATCAAGGTCGAAAACATGGGTTCCGGAACTTTTGTTCAAATTCTAGACGGAAAGACACGTTGTATCCAGGCTACCGACAGCGATAGTCTGTTACAACGCAAGACTTTGGCTGATCTCGCGCACCAAGAAAGCGCCGAAGTCTCAGCTACAACTCAAAGTCAGACCACGTCAACCAAGAAGAAAAGAGTGCACTTTGAAGACGAAGTTCCTGAAGGAACTACTACTGCTGAGGCAACTGAGGCAACCACCGAGGACTCAGCATTGCAAGCGCAACCACTTCGGGCTGAGGTTCAATACGAACCAACAGCCGGTGATATTGACCAAGTTACAGTCCAAGACGAGCGAGGTGTCGTATCGCCCAGGTCCAGGACGAGGAGCTGAGGTGGTCGATCCTGAAAGATATCCTGTGAGACGAAACCACCGCGATGATGTACAAAGAGACTAGCGAGGCCTAGACGTGAGCGGACGACTTTGTGCTGTCAAGCGACAATGACCTGCATTACACGGATGTGAGCAGAAGAAATGTCGAGGAAAACCTGCCCGAGATGTCGTTGAGACTTGTGGTGCCAACCACAATGATCCAAGAGGTGCTACACAACTGTCATGACTCCATCGAAGGAGGACACCAATGCGTCTCTTACCAGAGAGTGAAACACGACTACTACTGTATCGGTCTCTACGCAGATGTAGTGAAACATGTGAAATCATGCCTCGACTGCAGCTCGAGTAAGAGCTTGCCGCAGCTCAAAGGCTACTCACCTGGCAATGTGCTCGCAGAGCGACCATTGTCAATGGACTTTGGGATCCTTCTGCCGAGATCTCGTCGAAGGAACACTGCTCTGTTGCTATGGCAGTGCTCGTTTACTGGGTTTGTGATTGCTAAAGCGATGTCAGATACCGATGCCCTGACTGTGGTCAAGGTGTTCAAGTAATGCATCTATAGACGATTTTGGTGCTCCGTCTCTTATTCGTCACGACCGAGACCCACGCTTTATGGGCGAGGTCTTCCAGGTTATCGCTGAATTAATACAAGCACGGTCAAGGTCGACGCTGAGCTATCGCCCACAAGCGAATCGACAGCAAGAGCGGTCGGTCAAGACCGTGATGCAGTCCGTCAAGGTCTATGTGGAAGACCCGTTGCAGCAAGACTGGGACGAGATCGCTGAGCGACTAGTCTTTGCTATCAACAACATGACCAGGAAAGAGACGTCATTGTATTTGGTGCATGGATGGAATGCCCATACGACGCTACGAGCAATGACGACCTCTTTGAAGCGAGGTGTTGGTAAGCAGACTGAGGCACTAGCCTGGCGACGAGAGATTAACCGCTAGTAGTAGATTTCTCTCGAGATAGCAGAGGTATACCAAGCTGCAGAGAGGTCTGACGCGCTAGAATTCGTAACGAGAAGCTCAGTCGTAAAGAGCAAGCCGCAATACCAAAAAGCGTGAACGATGTCTCGTCCGACGATGACTCGGAACCGAAGTCTCTATTTCGACCTGGAAGCCGAGTTTGGCTGTATATGGAGCGAGTGAAGCCAGGATTAGTTAAGAAGCTGGCTCACCGATGGCATGGTCCCTTCAGAGTGAAGCGAAAGGTCGAAGAGTTCGCGTACGAGCTCGAGTTACCAGATAAAAGTGGGTATCGGTTCTACCCAGTGGTGCACGTCTCTCCACTGAAGGCTGTAAATGAATTTTGGGATCGCCCAAAGGCGCGGTTAGCTCGAGAGGTTGCTGAGGAAGCGAGATGTGACTTCGACGGAGAGCTGGTGCCTGAAGACAGCTGGAAGCTAGACGAAGTTGCTGGCAAATTCGAGGTGGAAGCGATTCTGGACGACAGAACACCAATGTCAACCAGCACGGACAGACCAGTACGCGAATTTGAGGTGACGTGGGTTGGCTACGAGTCAACTACATGGGAACCAGCCTCTAACCTGTCGTGTGGAGGACTCCTGTATGACTACTTGCGGAACAAGAAGAGCGAACAACGGTTACAGATGGTCCAAGTCGCGGACGAGGACTGAAAGTCGAAAATATCATGAAGAACGAACTGGGTGTGAGGTAAAGCAGCTCCCAATGCCAGACGAAAATTGCTACTGCTGCTAAATGAATGTATAACATGGATATGGAATGAATTTCTTGAAATGCGATGGAAATGGAAGTGACAATAAAAGAATTGAACGATTAACTACTCTGCAAAACTGTAAAACAACCAACAGGTAACTCAGATGTCGGCGACAACGCCAGACTCCGGTGGCGGAGATGACTCCGCAAAGAGCACGATCAGAGCAGCCTCAGTCGCTTCATCTTGAGGATCGGCCGAGGTGTCGTCAGCCGAAACTTGATCCAAGTCCATCGTGGCGACGGAGTCAGCATCGTCCTCTCCAACTTCGCCGTCCTCTATCTTCCCATCCTCGTCAGCACCACGAAAGGTGCGATCCCACGAGGAGTCAATGTCCTCCGGCTCCAGAGACAAGTCAGGTACAATGCGTGGACCTAGGACTTCGACAGTCGCGCCGGAAGGTAGGGAGAACGGCACGTGAGCGTTGCACGGAGCATACACCGTGTTGTAAGGGTGCTGCTCCGGACAAGTCAACCAATTCACCCGACATGGCTCCGATTCGTTCACTAGCGCAGCCTCTCCACACCAATCCGCCGACCCAGGAGCCCACATGAGCTTCTCCATAGTGTAAAACGGGAGAGTAGGGTCCAGAAGGGTCTCAATTGGGAGTGAGGCGTCCGGACCGACATACCAAGGCCACATGCGGCCAGGGAGAAATGTCCGCAAGTTGTCGGCTAGGTACGCGCGTTCCTTGTTGTACTTGAGCCACACCTTCTTCAAATGCTCGAGAGCCAACTTGAACTTACGACGCCCTTAGGATCCTTGATAGTCCCTAACCGATCAGTCATCCGAGAGAAGAAGCGCTTGACAGCCTCGGGAGAGACACAGTGTTTGCGCTCATAGATGCGAAACTCATCACAGCCGACTTATCGTTGCCATACCCGCGAAGCTGGAGCCAAACTCCACAAAGCCGCTCCCGATAGTCGGCTCGCTGAGAGATGTGAGAGTCCAGTTGGAATGCGGTAGTGTCGTAGAGACAGGCGTGCTCTGGCCACTTGGACATCGCCTTCCACCATGGGTGGTCGGCGGCCATAAACTTGCAAAACGTCTCGATATCAACCTTCGTGCACTTAACTTCCGCGTCGAAAGGCACGGGAGAAGGCAGAAACGACTGCTCGAGCTTGACCCAGTATTCTGCGCGCTGACGGTGGTATACTCAGGAGCCACATACGGAGTCAGTAAGTCGAAAGCGCGTTGAGCAAGCTTAACCAACTCTGGATACTTCGAGATCCAGTCAGGTAAATTAGGATATAAGGAAGACTCGTCGGCGATCTCTTGATGGAGGATCGAGATCTCTTTGGAGACGACTTGGATTTCTTCTTGGGAGCCGTCACTTTCTTGGTCTTAGCCGACACCTTCTTCTTTCAACCGACTTGGGCGAAGCCTTCTTTTTTCCCTTAGGCGACGATTTGGAGTCAACCTTGGTAGCCGGGAGAGGCTTGGCCTTGTGCTTGGGGAAAAGTCGCCTCAGCACGAGAATTCTTGACAAGCTGATTCTTGGGTGCTGGACGCCGAGGACATCGTCGAGAGAATCCTCGACGCACTGGCTCTCAGGACGGAGCTTGGGGAGCTCGCTATCCTCATCTTCGTGAGTCTCAGAGCCCTCTGACACTGGAGAATCAAGGTCAGAGCTCGACTCAGACTCGGACTCAGATGAAACTGAAATGACATAGTCATCCGACGACGAGTAGCCAGGTGTAGCCTTGGTGCCAGTCTTCTTATTTCTTAGGACAAGACTTCTTGGACTTGGAAGACGGAGACTTGACCGACTGGCCAGCCGAAGACTCAGAAGTGAGAGACTTGATGTCTGAACGTGAACTTCCAGCCAAGCAAAATGAGAATCGGAACTCGGAACTCATGGTGGCCTTGCGCTTTGGGGTGAGGCGAGGACTCGACATAGACTCAGCACCAGACACCGACACATCTATTTTCTTGGGAGCAGAGCCGGTCTTGCTGTGAACGGCTGCGCGAGCACTTGGTTTGCCCGGCGATGACTTGAGCGACGGCTGGCACTTCTTCGCCGGAGCCGGAGGAGTGGTAGGAGGAGAAGCCTTCTGCTTCTTTGGTAGTGGATGGGACGTCGTCGCTGAAGAGGAAGTTGCTAAACACTCACGGCCCTTATCTGGAGCTCCTCACCAGAGTCACCACCACCAAAATCCACATCCTCGTCACCGCTGCCGCGCTGACGCTTGGCCTTGCCCTTCCTCCCACCTGAAATTGGTGGAGCGGGAGGCGTCGAGGAATGCGGCGAGGGAGCTGGAGAAGCAGTCGACGACTGAGAACGTCCCGCATTTGTGGTCAAAGACGGCGCAGACCTTGAAGTGGGTCCAGCGCCAGTGACGGCGACTGGAAGTCCAGTCCGTGTAACGGAAAGCGACCGTAAGGACGACGGCAACGGCGCAGGTGCTGCCGCCGTGTACTGCGGGATACTCGTAGCTGGACTTGAGGTTGTGAAAGTGCTGGAATCTTGCGCGGCTGGAATAGACGGCCGCGTACGGAGACCGTGAGCGGGGGGAGCAGGCAAACCGCCGCAGCAGCTGCTTCCTCAGCCTTGCGCTGATCTTTAGCGCGAATATCCGCGAACCTAACCTTCGCACGTGCGATGTCGTCGGCGAGTGAATCCCGGTCTCGACCATCCGACAATCCAAGTTTATAGACTGCCTACAGAGCACGGCGAGTCTGTATTTGGGTGGAAGCATTCTCGCAGTCACGTTGGTCAGCGTCATATCAGTGCTCTTGTGCAGGGACGCGTTATCTAAGAGTAACAAAATATGCCGACGCTCACGACGCATCTGAACATCGAGCCCACGCAGCCACTTCTGGAAAACCTGCGACGTCATCCAGCCAATAGTTTTCGTAGTTAAATCCATGTTCCCTTCCAGTCTTATTTTTGAAGCAATGCGGCTTGAACGCCCATCCAATGTAGAGTAAAGACAGCATTTCACTGCCATCAGCGTTAGCGCAAAACGCTACAGTGATGCGTGTCTTATCTGATTTGACATCAAGATTGTTCCTGATGCAGATATCACCGCCAGGAGCGCGATTGTAGCAAAGTCCAGCCTCATCCATCTTGAAGACGTTGTTTAGTTCGTAGAGGTCCAGTTCATATTGCAGTACATGCCTCCCTCCCCCATACGACCGCCTGGTCAACGGAGCCCGCCTCCCCTTTCTTGATACGAAACCGCATATCATGGCGGTCCAAGAAGCGAGTCAGCCACCCGACTGAAAGTGTCAGATTGGTGACAGTGCAGCCTACCTCTTTTTGAAGTTGCCGTGCTTTCTCCGTCAGGGCCATGCAATTGATATTGACTTTTTGCTCTCTACACGAGCAACCCAAGCATTCAATCCACTTTCTAACGCTGCTGATGTAACCTCAAGGGGCTTGCGTCGACACTTGTCACTGTACGCTTCGTTCTTGATTTTTGCAGCATTCTTGAGAATATCGGAGATTGTGTTTCGAGCAGGTGCTGCAATCAACTTGAACTCCTGCTTGGCCCAAACTACGAGTTGCCCTCGGATCATTGTAGGAGCCTCTTCATGCTTCGCAATTATTTTGCGTCTTTGCCCGATTGTCATCCATAGCCCCATTTTGTGTGTGAGTGAAATGGATGGTTTTGGCGGGAAACCCTATTGTATAGTATATGCAATTAGTTGGGTACCTTATAAGTGCATTTTTAGAATTTGCATAAAACTTGACAAGATTATATGGAGAACCAGATATCGGAAGTGAGCGTACCTACTTTTTCAATCTACTGTGTAAGTTAGCTACTATAGTACAGTAGTTGGGTAATAACATGATAGTAGTTCAGCCTG